TGTCTGTTTGTACTGTCTAATCTCTGAAATGGCTGGACCGATTTTGACGGGTCTTTTACTGGAAGGTAGCTGATGTACTAAGGAGTAACATAGGCTATTTGTTTGCTGTAATTTTTTGGAAAATTAAAACAATAAAAGTTATGTCCTAAAACTCATATTCTACGCGGACAAAGTCTCTTCCACTGACCAAAAACATCAACTTCCACTTATCTCATAAAAAAAATATTTAACGAGAAACTCGACTAGTTTCAAGCCTTACTTGGGGCTCATATTCATGAGCGCAGTGCGCGACACCGACGATGCGGTCAATGTCGCGCAGGTACTATCTCACAAAAGTTATAATGTAAATAAAGTGTCACTCCATGCCACAGTTATAACTGTGCCACATACGACGTAATTCAGTTCTATCCATAACGCTTGTTTTGTTTACAAATATTTCACATTGATCTACCTGTGTTAACGTATATTGTGCGTAGGTATTTACCTAATAATGTGTAATTAAATATTATAAACTAGCTTCTGCCCGCGACTTCGTACGCGGGATCCCGTTTACTCCCGTTCCCATAAGATTTTCAGGATTTTTTTCTATCATAAGAACCTTCTCCTGACAATAATAAACACAACAAAAAATATCTGCCAAATCGGTCCAGCCTTTCTCAAGTTACGGCGTGACAACGGGAAACGGCTTTCATTTTTATATATAGGTTACCTATTGTATACAACACATTTAATTTAAATAATTATATTATTATTTAAAATGCTATACAATATCACTAAATAGCTAGATATGGCAGTTCAGTCCATTCCTTGGATGATATTATGCCTTGACACCATCTATATATATGAATAGAATAAGACGTCAGCGTCGTTGGATGTATGATATGAACATATTCGTCAACTCGCGCACATTTTTGCTTCGTCCTCGCACTATGTTTGGCCACGTTTAAAAGGAAAGGCGTACCTGTAGAAAAATGTTTGTTATGTTGTTTGACGAATAAGTCAGTAATGATATGGATGACGATGGTGCCACTTGAGGATACCAGAGCATTATTAATTGAAAATAACGACCTACTCACGTGAACTAATTGAGAAAGAGCTCAACCAGTTTCATGTTATAATGGGACTCATAATCATGGGCAGCGTGCGCAGACGCGACGACGTCGTGCAGTCAGCGTCAGTTGGCTGGACGATGACACCGCGCCTATACTATACTCGGAATTTTAATTCGATTCCAGATTTGACAATTTCAGTGTTGCAACGTTATGACAAGTACTAAATAGTGACGTTGCGAAATTATTCGATATGGAAATGCAATATTTCTGGATCGATTCTTCTCCTTTATAATTTTACTTTCGTAAACTAAGTATATCAGGAAATTAAATATTTCTGAACCGATAATTTAGTTTTGACGATTAATTAACGATCTGAGACTTTTCTTTTATAATTGTGTTTGAAATAAATAAAAAAATGTAATCATGAAGGAACATGACAAATAAAACATATAGATGTATTATGGTAATAAGTTATTTTATAAATTGTCGTCGTCATCGCTATCGCTATCCTGTCACTTTCTGTAACATTTATTATAAAACACACACACCGATTGTTTATCGATTTTTGTGTGCATCACTACACTATTATATGTGGTATCATTATTTCACAAAATGACAGTAGCTATTGTCAAATCTGGAATCTAATTAAAATTCTGACTATAGTAGAGCTTATTTCTTATTAATTAGTTCATTGACATGAATAAGCCGTTATTTTCTATTAATTTAGTATCTCTAACCATAGCTTTTCCACCAAAACTGGACACTATATTATTTTTTTAAATATAAATTCGTAGGTAACACGACCTAATAGGATACCTTAGTTATCTGTTGATGTTCGACCATCGATTCTAATCAATAGCAAATAAGAGCGATTTTCTTTTAATACATAATACAAATAATTTTAACAACACAGCCTCGTAATACATAACAGTATACTTCGTAGTACTAAAATTCAGAAATAAAATCTATAACAGATTTAAAACCAACAACTTGCAATCATTATTACTTCAATTTTTATATGAAATTTGATCGATAAGTCATTGAATAATTTGAATATTGTTCTGATTTTGTATCAATAAATTATTTATATTCATAAAGACAGAACGACGATAAATTCATCTGACTTGATATTCATTCGCCTACGCCGACAGCAACATGTTGATAGATTTTGAAGAGAAAAACATTCCTTAAATCAATGTTGATTTTCAACCGATTCTGAGTTTTATTGCTACGACATAAAAATGGCAATGGACGTAAAAATGTAATACTTTTTACAGCTACAATATGACTTATGGTATAAACAATAGAGCTCAGATTCGGATAGCATAAACCACTTTTTTAAATAATCTAAAAATAAATAGAAATAGAAACCAAAAGAATTGTCAAAACAAAATTATATTTTGTCCACTTATAAGAAACAGATGTACAATAAATATAATCCAGATACAATTGACTATTTGCATAATCACTAGACGACAAAAATTGCAGGGTAACTATTATTTATTTAGGTACCCCACCAGCAGGTCATATATTCTTTTCTAAATTTTACAATTTACAATTACATTATTACAATGTAACACGTACTTTTCTTCAGTTATGAATGAATCCTATATGTTGTTACATATAGGATTGGGAACACAAGGAATAAGCCTATTTCCATAGACTGGGTAAAATTTCAGTCATTATATTATTATATTAATACCCTTTGAATTTTCAAATAATAATAAATACTAAATTTCACTATAAAACGTTTCATTGTATTTATTTTGTTCGCAGATGGCAGCACTGAGCATTATGGCACTCCAGTCATGACTTGATAGATGAAGAAAATACCTACAGAACGTAATTAGATAGAACGAGAAGTAATGGAAGAATTATATATTATGGACAGGACCTCTTATACTGCATACAATTCTCTTGTACGGTGTATATGAGACAGAATAGAAAACACATTGTGTCTCGCGGAGATCAGCGTTTCGCCATACCACAGGTAATGCATCTGCGCACGCTGCTTATGAATACGAGTCTGAAGTCGCATTGTGATTTTCTTATGACGGCGCGGTGGTTTAAAAACCAGCTGCCGCGCTACGTGGAGCGGGTTCGATTCCCGCACGGAGCAACTCTTTGTGTGATCCACAAATGTGTCTTTGTGTATGTGAAATTGTATGTTTGTAAACGCACCCACGACACAGGACAAAAACCTAGCGGAGCAATGTTTTAAAATATATACATAACGAATGTATTAAAATGAAGGTTGATCTCATTGGAAAATAAATAATTTGCTAACTTAGATACCTGGTTTATCTCACCAGGAGACAAAGCCACGTAATCGAACCCTAACTGGCCTACCACGAACAGGTACACTAACCATAATAATAACGAAAAAAATTATTCATTCTCAAAATACACCCGCAATTTTTTTGTCGTCTAGTCAATATACATATGTCGTAGGATAATTTGATACTTCGAATCTTCGCGGAAATCCTAGGGGTTTTGCGAAAACGCGGATAATTAGACATAGGCGAAAAATTATCAAATCTTACTGGACAAAGTCAGGATTTTTGCGAAAATACTCGTTACTATAGTAAGATTTGATGTGCTCAACACTGATTGGATACAATTTTGCTGGCTGACTTCTAATTGGTTCCTAGTTTTCCGATGATTAACTTCAAGTATTGTATCATAGAGTTATGAAGGTTTAGAATAGATGAGAAAGGAAAATCACTAAACTGATTTTTATAAACTTTTTATTGAAAATTTTAGTATGTATGTTGTTTTCTACATACAATAGGAGATCTCAGTCGTAGTAAAAAAAAATGATCCAATTTTAGGGTGTAATCCATAAATTGGATGAAACTGGTCGTTTAAGACGACGAAAAAACATTTAAGACGTCAACCAATCAGAGACGATCTCTTATTGAACGCGCTGACCAACCAATCAGCGTTCTTATTTCATAACAGCCAGCGTTTCGTTTCGCAATCTTACTATAGTAACGAGTATTTTCGCAAAAATCCTGACTTTGTCCAGTAAGATTTGATAATTTTTCGCCTATGTCTAATTATCCGCGTTTTCGCAAAACCCCTAGGATTTCCGCGAAGATTCGAAATATCAAATTATCCTACGACACATATACACGGTGGCACATCATGCTATGCTAGTAAAACCAATATAAACTGAACGTCGAATGTGTGAAAAGACCATACAATGAAATACCATATTGTTTTTTAAGGGGGGAAATACACCGAGTGGCTTCTCCCGCCTGGGTGAGGCGAGAGGGAGTGTCAGACTCTTACTGACTAAAAACCACCCAGTTCCTACTCCTGCCACGGCAATCCGTTAACCCGTTAAGGCATCAGCCCTATTGGGTCCCATCCGTGGTGGTCTGATAGCTCTTTGAGCGCCACACGCTCGGGTCTGGTTCTGGTCGGACGGCGAGCTAACCATCCTCGCCGTCCACAATCCCGTGCTTACGGTAAAGACCATGATATACTGGTTAATTTATAGCTCGATGTGCAGAGGCCTTAGTACAAATTTGTTCTATGTTTAAAGTAATCGAAACGACGTGGCGTTCGGTACTCTGAGGCCTTAGTACGAGTTTCTTTTTCGTTTAAAGTAATCGTAACGAGTACGCGTTCGGCGCTCTGATTGGCCGGCTCTAATGAACCAACCAATCAGAGCACAGAACGCCGTCTCGTTGCGATTACTTTGAACGTAAAATAAATTGAGTGCCAAGCACGAATAACTATCGCATTCGTAACGTAATAATATCGAGCGAGTTAAGCGTTCTGATTGGTTGGTTCACTTGAGCCGGCCAATCAGAGCGCAGAACGCGCTCTATACTATTACGTTATATAGTTATTCGTGCTTGGCCCTCAGGTATCAAGACCTCAGTCGTGTATACTTCTATCTATGTATAAATAAAAATGTGATTTATTCAACGCTTTTGTTTAACGGCCTGATCTTCCGATGGCTGTGAAGGCAGGGGATCTGGCAGAACTTGCACCCGTCGTACTCGAACGGTACTTTGGGCAGCTGACTACCGCATAGGAAGCACCTTTGTTCTTGCTCTGGAACTTTTCTCTGAGGAATAAAAGACCATGATTAACAACTTCATTATCCATAGCTAGATATTGCAGCTGGATTATGAACACGGTGAAACACAATGCAAGCGTTACTTCACGCTGGTTTTTGTAACGCCTTAGTATCACTCCGGTCGAGCCAAAGTACGACGTTTTACATGAAATTTTATTAAATGTCTCTTGAAATTTTACCACACATTCTCCGATCTGGAAGTCGTTAGGGTCTAAGTACATTGGACGTCATGTGGTTAATTGATTTATCATGACGGTGATGATTTTGCAATATCGTTTAACCTTTCACAGACCACACACAGACACAATGTATTTTCTATTGTGTCTCAAATCGGTGCACTCACACAAAGTAGTTCGCATAAATAACTAGCATAGTACCAGCTAATGTATAAACAAGTGGCTCAACCATCCGAAGTACCTTATTTTAGCTGATGGTGGCCGTTCGGCTTTAAACTGGCCAATCCCCAAGCGGTCACCGGTGACCGCTCTCCACTAACTCCATTATAGACCTTATTTCCGATGTTTAGAGACTACTTTTGTATGAACAAATGTTGTGGATTTATCATAATCGGACATTTACGAGTTAATTAATAGCGTTACATACCTTTTGGTCGTCACTAAGTAGTAGGAACGCGTTTCCCTTCATCTTATCAACCTGCCTCTCTTTCTCTCGCTGACGTTTCGCCTTCTTCTGCTGTGCTTTCCTCTCTTTCTCTTGTTCTAACTGCTCTGGAGTCACTGGACCAGGGATTTGGGACTGGAAAATAATTAAAGTTAATATAATATTATGATGTACAATGCGCGGGTATTAATCGTACTGTAGATTAATATCTAAATAGGGTCAAGTGCGCGTAATAGGGTAGATGACTAATTTTTATTTTCTTACGGAAACGAATAGTTTCGAAAATATATTGATTAGAAATATCGCATGACGTCACTTTTAAGTGCGATTTATACTCCAAAATGATATACTACCTCCCACTCCTAAACTTTGATTCGTTTTATCTAAGTATTGTTTTCTTATAGGTACGACAAAATAAAAAAATACGTGTCTAATATTTTTTCATTACCTAACTGACGGACTAATTAGATTTTTAATTTTCATACCATGTCATCATCCACCAACCATCCTTAATGACCTCTTAACTAAGGGTTATTTAGCGCGAGCATCTAAACTTACTCCTTACTTCTATAGTTACGTGTCACTTATAGGTTGATGAAAATAAAACGTTTCAAGTGTCACCTATGTTAGGGACACCTTAAAATTTTAAAGAAGTTGGTGAAACTTTTTTTTTAAAGGGGGAATGACTGCTCCCGCCTGGGTGAGGCGGGAGGGAGTGTCAGACCCTTACTGACTAAAAACCACCCCGTTCCTTCTCCTGCACGTCGAGCCGGCGCCCCGGTTACCCGTTAGGTTCTCCGCGACAAGTTGGTGAACCTTGGCAATTTGGCATTATTATCCTAAAGTAGAATTCACGTTGTCAAGGTGATGATGAATGATTACGATACCTTGGAATAGTTGTATTTGTCGGGATGTTGTGCCTGGAACATTCGGAAGGCGATCCTGGTGTCTGCGTGAGGCGTGGCCGCGTACGGAGTCTGCAGGTCGTGGTTCTTGATGCAAGGGTCCCCGCCCGCTGACAGGATCTGACTGGAATACATAGTTATAACGTGACTCTTTTGTATACAATCACTATCAATTAGTAGTCATTAACCCCTCGAGCGTCCTTATGAGCACCCGGTGGATCATAAGAAAAAATGCTCCATGCTGCTTTCTCTTTTATAAAATCTATTATTAATGTTTTGTTTTTATTTTGACTGTATTTTTTATTTCTATTGTAATGACTAATGATCCTTGTTTTCGTGTGCCAATGGCCAAATAAATGCATTTTCTTTCTTTCTTACTTACTTTCTCCAAATGTCACTTGTGCACCCGTTGGATCATAAGGAACGCGGACGCTCGACGGGTTAAATTACTTATTGTTTTTAAAAGAGTGACGAATGGAGTTTCTTGCTCGTTCTTCTCCATTCAAATCTACATTTTGTAACAAGCACCTAACTTCACTGACGGACTGACTGACAGACTATTATTTATTTTGTATTTGTTGACGTTTCAAAAGTACCAAATTATGGTTTAACTGAAATAAATACTTCGACTTTGACTATAAACTTTATCGTTAATTAGTTTACATTTAAAAAAGTACATAATATGATAGACAACTAGTCAAATTTACATTTTACCTAAATACGTATTTCATAAAAATTATTAACCCTTTGAGTACCGTCATTATAGACACAATTAAAGAACAATAGGTGTTCGCCGCGGACAACGGTGTCTTCGCGGCGTTTGACCGTTTAAATTGGATAAATACAAAATTAAAGTATACAACCAAACAATAAATGAAGTGTTATTATTACTGAATATTTTTTTTTTGTTGAATATTGATATACATTATTCTTGACTAAGAAAACTAAACGATTAACACATGGTATTTTAATGCATTCTTTTCGTTTTGTCCGGATTTGACCACTATTTATTTATTTATTTAAATAGGTATACCAACAGCTTCTGTATACATAATATTAAGTATCTTACTATTTCCTATTAATTTCACTATCTTTCTTTAACATATTCACTCTTATTTTATTCATCCTTGTCACACCACAGATCCATAGAGTAACATTTTACATCTCTTAATTTAAACTAAAACTTTACTTACGTGACCATCTCTGGTTTAGCAGCAATGGCCGCCTTATGCAAGGCAGTGTTGCCATCAATAGGGTCCTGGGTGTTGCAAGCTGCTTGAATGTCACCCTCGAACGCTTCAATAATTGTATCGAGACTAGTGCTGTCCTTGTCCGAAATTGATCTCCACATCTGTAAAAGTTTGGCATTTGGTTTTGAGACAAAAATTGTGAAGGAGAATATTGTAGGTTTAGTGGCAATTGGAAAATATTAGTTTCGTAAAAATATAGTATTTGAATCTGTTATGTTATGGATCATTCTCATGAATCGCACAGAATTTATTATTCGGTTCGAATTTAGGTAATAGACATGCTTTTTAAAATTTAATAAAAAAAAACATAATATATGTAGAATAGAATATTACGCCTTCTATCCCCGAAGGGGTAGGCAGAGGTGCACATTGCGGCCCTTAATGCCATAGTACTTACATTGGGAAATTGATTGTACTTTCATATGAATCGGACGTATTGATTAACTCATTAGAAAATTAAAACAAAATAATTACGATTGCAATATCGTGACCTAGATTAACAATTGCACATTAATACTGGACAAAACGTGCGTCATCGTGTAAAAGTGTAAATTGACAATGTTCTATAATTGACAAGTGAATACTTTGCATCATGGAAAACAGCCCATTTGCCAAGAGTAACAGGGTTGTACGATCTCCACCTGGTACACCAGCATCGACCTTACAACCACCGACCTCAAGTACCGATGCTCCTGAAACCGTCGCGACGCCCGAGATCCAGAAGTGGTTAACGACAATCGACCAGAGTCTTACTGACATATGCACTATTGTCAGTGATGGCAAGATGAACTCGGAACAAAAGCTGCGAGTCAACGCCCTTTGCAGGAGAGTGAGTAACGGGACTTCACAGATGGCAGTACTTTACCAATCCCTTAAAGCCAGAGCCTTACTTGCCCACCAAAACGCTTGTAACCTTGAGAATCAATTAGACCTCTCCCTGCAGCTTAAAGATCTTCAACAGAGAATTGCTGAAACTCCCAACCCTACCAGAACAAATTCTTTCGCCGATATGGTAAAAAAAGGTACGAATAATTTCATCCAGCCCTTAAAAGTAAGTTCTGTAGTAATTTATCCAAACGATAAAACGATGACGAGTGACGAGACGAAACTATTAGTCCAAAAAATCATCCGCCCTGAAGAAATGTAACTACAAGTAAGAGGCCTTCACAAAACTAAAAACGGCGGTGTCATCATCAGTACCGAGTCAAAAGGCGATATTGAGAAGTTGAGACAATCAGCGCAACTCACAAGCTCAGGTCTTACCGTCGATGAGCCGAAGAAAAGAAAGCCCAGAGTCGTCATCATAGGAGTGCCATCAGCTATGTCCGACAAAGACGCTTTAGTATGCTTGTACCATCAAAATCTGGCAGACAAATTGGAAAATTGCAGTCTTGACGCTTTCTTGGAGACAACTAAGTTAAGCCATAAATCAGGGAGGAGAGATGCTGAGACCTGCAATTATGTGGTCGAAGTAACTGCAGTCATTCGAAAAGCCCTAATATCCAAAGACCGAGTCTTTATAAATTGGTCATCATGCCCTGTTCGCGACTTCACTCTGGTGACCAGGTGCTTCAAGTGCCAGCAGTACGGACATGCTGCTAAATCATGTCGACAGACCTCTTTTACTTGCGGACATTGTGGCGAACAAGGTCATAACATAAAAGATTGCCCAAAAAAATCAGATGAGCCGAAATGTGCTACTTGTCTTTACTTCAAGAAGCCCCACAATCACATGACTGGTGCTACTGAATGTCCTGCAAAAGTTATGGCCGAAAAAAGGTACATAAACTCGGTGGACTATGGCGACACGTAAGAACGCTACAACTTATTCTAAATATATTACAATTGCGTAATGTAAACAGGTTGACTTACTCATCGGCTAGTTGCTGTCTAAGCACTTTATTGTAATTTGTACAGCAAGTGTATGATCGTAGACTTTGACCTAGTTTATATATCTACCGTTGCAAGTAATTTTTCGACTATAGTGAATAATAATATGCCTTTTGTCTAAGTAAAATCGTACCTAATTTTAATTCTTTGTGCATTGGATACCTAATTACCTACCTACACCATATTGTCATGTTACTCTTAAGTTGTTTCACCTCTGCCTATCTCTTCCGGGAGTATAAGGCGCGAGGTATGTGTTTATGTATATTATATAGTCTTTATATTATTTGTCAAAATATTGTCAAGTATTAATTAATAATTAGCATGTAAGAGCGTATATAGGAATAAAATTATAATTATGTTAGACCTATTCTCGCCTGTGACACAGGATTATCCTAGTACAGGCACCCAACCATGTGAGATCTATTTTATTTACCCAAGAAATATTTTTGTATCTGTGTCCATTTTCATTTCTGAATAAAGATTTTATTTATTTATTATTTATTTATTTATTTTATTGTAACAACCACTTTTCACTATTTATGTTATGATGTTTTAGGGCTTTGCCCGACCTGGGAATCAAACCCTATTAAAAATATCATAAATAATAACCATGAATACAACCATAACTTACATTCTTAACACTAGCAGGAATCTTAGGAGGTCCCTTCTTGACAGGCACAGCCTTATCATCAGGTTTCTTGTTAACCTTCTTCTTTCTTCTCGGTTCTTCTTTTTTCTCTACGATCTCTTTCTCACTCTCTGAGTCCACACAGCTAGTGATCACACAGTCGTTGAGGAGATCTTTCCGTGAGTTCGTGATTATGCCGTTACTGCTTTGCTCTGATAGGGTTTTGATCCAACCGGCTGGTGTCTCCGAGTCGATGTAGCAAGGACCCTCGTCTTCGCTTGACGTCACTTGGGTGGGGAGCTCGCGGGGAGCGCGTTCTCTGTGATGAAGAATAGGGTGGGTATTTTTTTAAATATTCAATTTGTTTAGGTATACTGCTAGCTGTTAGACATAGCCGCGGAGGGGTTAACGGGTTGCCGGGGCTCCGGCTCGAAATGCAGGAGTAGGAACGGGGTGGTTTTTAGTCAGTAAGAGAGTCTGTCTGAGAGAGAAGTCATTGGATTTTCACCGATCAAAAAAAAAGCTGTTAGACATGACCTCTATAGATTGATGTTTAGACTTCAAATCTTTTTATGTTAGCTTCTTTATATTCTCAATAACATCTTACGCAGTTTCACCCCATTATATCGTTCCCAGAAACCTCGTACGTGTCTAATATACCGTCAGTCAAGAGATTAAAGTAATTGTAAAAAAAAAAATATGAAAAATAAATAATAGCTTATTTACTTTACCTAGATTTAGCTCTGTCAAATGTTTTTGCTGGTTGTTTTTGTGATTTTTTGATATTAGTGTCCGAGTTGTTTTTCGATGGAATTTTACCGCCATTAAGAGCCAGCAGCCCTTTTTGGAAGTCTTGCAACGATTCTGTGAATTACAATATTTATTTGGTTATAGTTATCAGTCATTAGTTTCGTATGTGATATATATATATTTTTTTTAAACGTTGCCCCACACTAGGATTTTCTCCTGTATCGTGGGTGCGTTTACAAACATACAAGTTCACATACACAACACCCAGACCCGGAACAACAATATGTGGATCACACAGAGTTGTTCCGTGCGGGAATCGAACCCCCGACACGTTGCGTGGCAGCCAGTTGCCCAACCACCGCATCAACTGTGCAGTCAGCATATGATTGTTTATTTAAATGCTCAGGAGAATATTTGCTAAAAGCTGGCATTATGAATGTTATTCTATTTTTAAGAAGTGGTTGTAGTAAATGGATATTGTAAATGACTTTTGTTTAGGTTTAAATTCTGGGATACTAAATTGTTTTTGGAAAACCGGTCTCATCAGCAGCTGTGGCCAAATGCCATTTAGCGCTTGTCTACTTGTAGAGTAGAAAATTAAATTATATGGAATTGACGTAAAATTTTACAACTTGTCAGTCCCCATACATTTTGATTTCTACTCTCTCTGTAGACAAGCGCTAAAGTGGCGTTTGGCTAAATGCACTGGTTAGTTTAGTTTAAATGTTAACATGAAAGAGTTGTTACTTTGTAACACATTTGCAAAAATAAAAATATTTCTATCATTTCATTTCAAAACCAAAAACAAAACAAAAGAGTTTTTATAATTGCCTACATCTAAGGAACATAACATGTGCACTTTACAACACTTAATGCCACTGTACAATGTAACACACACTTTTTACTATTTATGTTATGAGTAATAGAAGTAAAACAGACTTACCATAAACTTCAATACTGGCCAACGTTTGGAACACTCTTTTGACCTCTTTGAAAGAAGGTCTCCTAGTTGGGAAGGGCAGTTGCCTGACCCTCGGGTCCTCTTTCCTCAAAGGCGATGGTTTCCCGAAGAGGGCAGCCTGATTGATCGTCCCCACAGCCCGGTAGAACACCAGCGAACAGCCTTTCAGGTCATCATTCCAGCTAACCAGAATATTTTGGACGTGCTAAAAGAAAATTCAGATAATAACAATAGGTCCTGTATGTATGGACGCATTTAATAATGGCTCGAGGCATGCGTAGAAGTTGATTTACTTATATCTCCAAAACGTAAATATTTTTAGAACTAGAAGATTATATCTTTTTTATTATTATTTGTAAAACTGCACGCCATATTAAATGTGTCCTGTCGTTCGATGCAACATATAACAATAATATCTTATACGAACATCAATAAGATATAACTACTGAAATAAAACACCATCGTAAAAGATATAGCGTTTAATTATTTTTTTATTTCATATACACACGTGCAACGACCGTGCACCACACATACGTGCAATATTTCAACGTGCAAATACATAATTTTATACATATAGTTATTTATTAGATATTCATGCAGCATATATACAAATACATATAAAGATGTATATATAAACAACAGGTACACATAGATATTTTTGGATTGGGAGCCAAAATAACTTATTTTTCTTCCATAAAGTTTCAGAACGACGGAGTGTTGCCAATTTTCTTTTCCTATATCAACTTTGAAATATTCACACAAGTTTACATCAATTTATTATTTAAAAACAAGTAATTTTGCCTAAAACAGAGGCGCCCAATCTAAAATAAAAATATTTTACCAAGACCTGTAAAAGCAGTGGTTACTATAATCACATAGGACATAGAAGAATAGAGAAGTAGGTAATCTCGGCAGATTGAGATCTGCGATAGTACAACAACGCAACATACAATATAATAAGGACAAATATATTATCTCACATACATTAAGCACGAATTTTCCTATCTTAGTTTATAATTAAAGAGGACGTCCAATGTGTAATGAAATGATGTTACCACATCGTAAGTATTTAAAGTACTTATTTGTAAATACAGCATAATACAGTAATAAAATGCAACTGCATAATTAATAAAGCAAGATTTTTTGTTCTAATTAATACATTTTGCGGTAGATATGAGTACATTTATTTCTCACGATATGGCAACACCATTCGTTATACGTTGTATACGACCAGTGACAGGAAAAGCTTAAAAGAAGTTAACTCTTAACGCTTCACATAATTCTAAATATGATATTATACTTATATTTATTTTAAAGCACTAATAACATCAAAATTTTGATAAATATATTTGCCAATGGTTTAGAGTAGGAAAATTGATTTCACTGTGGCAACACTATACACCGTGCATTCGGTCTCTGTAAATTTTCTTAACAAATTTTGTCTCGAACTTTATTTGAAACACAATTTCTTCCCGATCAGCCAATTGGTCAGATGATATGTATGCACGGTGCACTCTTGAGATCCATGAGGACGGTAGCATTCGGCGAGCATAAAGTAACGCATCCGCCATTTTCATTGTACTGCATTCGTTTACGCTTGTTGCTATGGTTACAGCACTTACCATTAAGAACTCTTCTTTGTTGTACTTGAAGCGTCTCAAGAGCGGACCAGCCGTCCGAGGCAGTCTGTTGGCCTGCTCCAGTGATTGTATGACAGGTTGAAAATACGAATGAATGATGATATTATTCTGTGTACTTTATGAAGCTTTTTCGGATTATCGGCTAGCCGCTCTAGCTACATGATGTATAGCTTAATAACTCAATATTTACCCAACCGAAAATATAAATCTGTATTTTAGGATTAGAGGCCAATACCCACAAGCAAGCCAAATCGTTATGTAAACAGTACCTGTTGGCTGTTAGAACAATCCACATTATTTGTTATTACAACAATTCCATTTCATGCCGAATATTTGGTAGTTATAAACTCAGCTATCAGCTGATTAAACAGTAGGCAGTAGCGATAAGCTTTCGCATTCTAGCCTCCCAATATTATCATCCTTTTATACAAGTTACTATGAGTGAAAAATTAGCATACCAAGTATTATAAATGGGACGCATATATGCCTCTTAGTTAAAAACTGCTTACCATGCTGAAACGGCAGATTTTTTATTTTATTTATTTATTTAAATCAACACATTCTAACAGGTTACACCCAATGCGATAATGTTGTCACTTAATTATATCAACTTATAAAAATAGTATACCATATCTATCCCAATAATATAAAATCCTGTGAAAATTGGTTAGTCTGTTAGAATATATACAAACAATGTTAAAAAAGCACTCAGGTTAGTGAAATAATTTCGGTTACAAACCACACTGGACCTAAAATTGGACCTTGTGGAAAACCTATTCCAATAATAGAACTTTTTGTTTAATTCTGAACAAAATATTAGTCTTACAATTTTATTATTAACTTTTGAGCTTTTATTAGACTTACCATTTAAGAGAATTTATTGGAACATACTTGGAACAGCCAATTGTTGCCAAATTATGAGGTCACAAAAAACTTTGTTGCTGTCTATTTCGGAATAAACATTAAAATGATATGATTCCACTCACCGCAAGGAACTGCTCCTGGTTGTATCTCCTCAAGCTTGCACCTGCTGACTTCGGAGCGTTGCCAGATTGATCCCTGGTTGCTTGCGCCATGCCCTGGCCCCTTCGCGTGGTGTACGAATGAAGAGTCTTGTGGATAGCGTCACTGCCTCCAGTAAAGATGCAACCAGCGAAATGACCACCAGACACCATCAGTACAGCCCAGCGTCCGAAGCCTGGACTAAGGAGTTCCTTCAAACGACGAGCCCAAAAATGACCCTCGCCGTCGTGTGACATCTCTTCCTGTAAAATAAACAAGACAGAAATAAGTTTTACGCTTGCTTTGTACGGTACGACGCACTACGCTATAAAAACACAATGCAGTACAACGCACTAATGGAGCCTAGCCCCTATACGGGCGCAGAGTCGAAGTGCATTGAAGCGAAAATCCAACTGCTAACTTATCTGCAAGCGTAATGGACACTTCTGTATGAGAACGCGTGTCAATATGCGTGCACAAAGGCACCAATGATCGTGCGTATTTTTAAATTTATAAAGTAATGAGTACAATACGATGATCCAATCAAATTAATTGTGTAATTTTTTTTCTTTTTTTGTCATTTACAATCAGTCGCCAGATTATGAGTGAATTAGTTGAAGGCCAAATGACGTTTGGAGAGGTTACAGGTATTCATCTACAGACGCCCCTCAGGTAGGAAGCATATCAGCTCTCTTTAATCTCTTGACAGGCACAGAAAACACTAATTGGTGGGCTAGTCGATTTGGATGTGTAGAAAGATGTTCCATGTAACTACTTTGCCTTATATCGTTAAATTTAAGATTCTAGTATTGCGAGCAAACTACGGATAGTAACTATGGCGTGAAAAGGTATATTTTTAGTGAAACTGTTTTTTTTTTATAACCTGGCCTCTAACTACCAGCAGTTTATTTGATTGTCTTACTTCATGGATATTACCTTCCTATGGTGCAGCAAACAGCGGTAAATACAGAACACCTGCCCCTTGGGGTTAGAGTAGAATGCCTTGCAGTGCCGAGTGGCAAGTGCAAACAGCTCAGTAGCTGCAGCATCAGGATTGTCGTCAGCTTCGGAATCACTAGCTGACACGTTTGAGCTTTCATCTGTAATTCAAAGATATGTGGGATAAACATTGTACTTATTTAGTAATTTAAGAACGCAGATTATCTGATTGTTAAAACGGAACGCAGCGGATGAAAGAAAGAGACAAGTATGTGTGCGAGTGAGAGAGGGGAGGAATGGCGACGGTTACGACAAACAGCCACGGACGGTGTAACGCTGATTTTTATAACGTGTTTGATTTGAAATAAAAGTTTCAATTAATAGTGCTCGATTATTTTGCCTTACAATCCCACAGATATATTTCATTATTTTGCACATCTCCACTTCTTTATGCATGTTCCTCATTTATAGAACTTCAATAGCAGTTATTAATAACATCATTATAATTATGTTGTTTATCAGCTAAACTAAGTAATGTTAATTTCTGATAAGAAAACACAGAGTTACCTTTAAGAAGAAGAGACATTTTAAAACAATTAACCATTTTACATAAAATTATTTAAATGCTAATTTGCAACATTTCAATTTGCGTCTTAAACAGTTTTAAACTAATTCCGACAAATATGCAACTTTGTAGTCTATTTTAATTGCTGTTGTTGTAAAAAGTATTTAGTTATTTTTTAGTGATACACTAACAGCAGTGTTGACTCTGAAAACAATCCAGAGGTTTTGGACTAAGATCGGTCATTAGTCTGAAGTGCAAGAATAATTCAACAAAGTCTACACTCACCTTGACGAGCAGTATATTCTCCAAGACTAATAGGTTTCCGGCCAAACAGCTTCCTCTTCAGATTATGCGTATGCCAGTGGTGTTTATAATGCGCAGTCTGTTGTGCTCTGGTGGTGAATGGGCCAACACCACAACAGGAACAACTAATACCATCTGAGCTTCGGAGAGTGAGAGCACTGAGGCGGGTCAATACACTTGCCTCATCGACTGTAATTAAATATTAGATAATTATGAGTAATATTATTTATTTATTTCAAACTTGACCAGGTAATATTTTCATTGTTATTAGTTTGATTTGAAAAATATGTTTTTAGCACTAATTTTGCAATCCCTCAAATAACAAAGTGAGGGATAATACGAATTAATTATTACGTCTTTCGGCTTACTCACATAACTGTTTGACGAGGAAATCTACCAATAGAAAGCCGAAAAACAATAATTAATTTAGTATGTCTCTCAAAAGTTATAATCCTTACTAATATTATAAATCGGAAAGTGAGTTTATTTGTTTGTTCCTCTTTCATACAGTAACTACTAAACCGATTGCTTTGAATTTTTGCAGATGTAAAGTTCGAACTCCGGATTAAATAATAGGGTACTTTTTATCCCGGAAAAAATTGATATTCCCTCGGGATCTCGCCATCTATTCTATAGATAGCGCTGTGTGTATTGGTATATATTACATAGGCTACTTTTTATCCTTTTGTGACGAGAGTGAAGCCGCGGGTAAAAGCTAGAATGTTATGAATATGAATTATTATTAATCTGTGGATAACCTACTCATTAACATAAAATAAATGACTACACATTGATCTGATAATATTGGATAATATAAATCTGATAATGAGATAAACGCAGTTTGTTTGAAGTACATGGCATGACAGTAAAATGAAATGAATACCTATTTCTCCTTAGAGTAATTTTTATACAATTCGCACCTTTAAAGTATAAACGAAAATTAACATGAATTGCATTAATGCCATGTAATTATTTTAGGATTTTTAAATAGTTGTTTCATATTAATACTAAACACTTTACTACTAAACACACACTACTACTCACTTTGTGAAAATTTTCGTTTAATACCAGTTTTACTTGAAAGGGATGAATTTTTAATTTTAATTGCGGAAATAACCAAACCATTTTCATCAATATTCTCTTAAAAATGTGTATTCGTTTGTCTCTCATGTTGCAACAGAGTGATCTAATGGTTTTAAGTTTAGAGAATGATATACAGGCTACTTTTTTAAACAACTATAAAGCCATGGGTAGCTCATAGTACCACAGAAAAACAATCACAATAATCTAATGGGAATCCCAAATTATTTACCGAAAAAATTGAGTAACACATGATACGTAATTATGAAATTATTACTATAATAGACAATAGAAATTATTACAATATCTAACATGAATTTGTTTTTACCACAAAGTGTAAAATAAAGACATCATTGTTTTGATATTATTTTGAGTATGTTGTGAAACATATTGTAACAGGTTACAACTTTACATGATATGTTATGAAATGACCTAAGCATTAGAATCATATCACTTGTAGAACCTTGACATAAATGTCGTTTTATTATGCACTTCTTGGCATGCAATGAAAAAGTATTTATGTTATAAATTCACTTACCCAGTGGAGGTGCCTCAGTAAGCATAACATGTGCGACTTTCGCATCCTTGATTAATTTTTCAATTTCATCTAATTCGTATGCCTTTACGATCCTAGCACGAACGTTTTCTGATTTAGACGCCATTGCAAGTTATTTTTTGTCACTAATATTAAAAGTTAAATAATGTTCCTTGTTTACATGTCGACCCCCAACGTGGTCGCAACGAAGAATGACTTATAAAATAATATTGTGCAATAAATCCAACTCTGGCTGTTTTGTGCTTACAAAAAGTGTAATAATTATATATTTGACACTTGTCTAATTTGACATTTAATTTTGACAGCTCTAAACGGTTGACTTTGACCTCTGTCATTAAGGCCCTGTGCATGCCCTGGGCACGAACGAAGTAAATCTAAAGTTATTTGTTAATCTATTTTGAAGCTTAGTTTAATTTAATTAAACATACTGGAAATTATAATAAACTAAAAATGTGGTTAAATTTGTCAGATGATAGTGACATCTATTGGTTTTATATCATAATCTAACTTTATCAGGCTGCATTAAGAAACACTAGATGTCTCTGACTCACCGAAGGTAAAAATGAAAGAAAAACCATTTTAGTAAGTGAGTACACTAATTATTGAATAAAACTTCAACCGTCTGTTATATTCATATGCTATTCAGATATCTCAGCTTATTCTATCAGCTGTTTCAGATTACCTCAGGCTAAATCTTTAACGTTTCGTATTCAACCACAGCCAACCATTTACATCCATAATTTTACCATCGGATTTTCGGAATTTTATTAATATTTTGTGTGAAATGGTATAGTTCAGGTACCTACTTAACCCACAGCTTTTCGCAAAAAGATGGGCACAAAGGCGGACTTTTTACTGATATCGATATTTTCAAGACTTCCCTTGGGTGGACAGTTGGATAGAAATTTAGGTAGAGTGAGTTCACTCCATGCGTCACTAGTATGATATAATTCATAAATAGCATAGGGTCAGAGCGCGCCCGGACGGCATGCCGTTGTCTTTTCCAAAACAATGATGAATCCGAATGACTTCTCCCGCCTGGGTGAGGTGGGAGGGAGTGTCAGACTCTTACTCACTAAAAACCACGCCGTTTCTACTCCTGCACTTCGAGCCGGAGCCCCGGTAACCCGTTAGGTTCTCCGCGGTTTCGTATCGGCATCAGCCCTATAGGGCCCCATCCGTGGTGGTCTGATGGCTATTTGTGGCGCGCGCGGAACTCGACGCGCCGTAATATGCTGCAGCCGTGCCGTTTCCGTGTACCATGACCTTAAGTCACGTACAGAGAGGGTACGTCCCTAGTAACCGATCCATAGTAAAAAAATCTATGCTTCCTGCCTCGCACAGCAAAACTGTGGAATGATCTGTCGTCGGCGGTATTTCCGAACCGATATGACCTTCAAACCTTCAAGAAACGAGCGTATGTACCCCTTTTCGTCACCAAAACTATTAACTCTTCCCTCCTTGTGCATATTTGAGGTGGCCAGCTACTTAAAACTAACATCCACCTGTTCACCCACCCAAAAAGTAAACGTCATAAATATAGGATCTGCGCTACACAACATAAAAAAGCCATCTTCAACAAAAACATTTTAGGTATGGCACCCAATTCTTTTATAAGTTACCTAAAGACATAATAGAAATTAACAATATTAATAAAAGTATTTAGCAGAAAGGTGCTAGGCCTGCTATAACCGATTTGCAATATATGTAAATGTTCGGTTTTTTCAAAAATATAACCAACCCTGACGTCTTGGGTGATTTTATTCAAAATGAATGTCGTACGTACATATGACATCAAGTCTCTTATACCTTTTCATCCTTTTAATTTCACTTTTTGATACATACGTACATATTTTATGTAATTTTGTGCTTAGGTATCATGACATCCCATAGTATAGTATTATACTTCTTAATCAAATAGAGGTATATGACATTCCGCATAAGGGATTAAAGCTCATGATATGACCGATGGCGATGGTTCAGTGGTTTAACTTACTATAAAAGTTTGGTCCTGTGTAGATACTTAAATGACTATTAATGTATTTTTATTTTCTGTATTAATATTAATCTATTTACTAATACTTATATGAATTTGTATGCTTCAAGGCAAAATATAGACGGACTCGCTGTATTGCACTGTATGGCAATCACGCAAACGACTTTATATAACCTATGTTTACGAATAAAAGATTTCATTTCATTTCATTTCACTTTTCACCGAAGCGAATGACAAAATAAATTACAAAGGAAACTCAAGTAACATACAGCAATCAACAATAAAATGGAATAAAATGATACTTACATGTAGATAACGCACCGTCTCCGGCGGCACCTAACCGCCAGCAACACATTTAACGACACGCGTCACGTGAAAATATAATTATATATATCTCTCCAATGTCGCCGGTTGCGTTCGCAAAAATTAATTAGCGTGGTCTCCACATTTTTTTAAAGTTAACTCCATCTTATACCTTCGAATGTGCCTAAAGAGTTACAGCAATGAAAAAACTACATTACATGCTTATTTGTATAAACATAGTGCATGGAAAACTTTCTCACGACGCCAAGAAGGAATTCTGTGAAAATTTGAAATGTGATGAGAATGAAGACGCTCCAGTGTGCGGCATGAGGTATGAAGAAAACGGAATAAGACTCAGGCTGTTCGATAATGAATGTCAACTGATGAAGTTTGGGTGCAAAGTTGATAAAAATCAGAGTAAGTAAACCTACCAATAAAGCATATGCTACATATATAAATGCAGCAAGGTCGTTTCCCAAGCTGTAGGTACATGATTTGGAAGCTGTGTATAGAAACGCTAAGGTTTTGGTGTATGATGTTTATCATGGAAGTACCCACGTAAACTTTAACACGCCATTTTTTTAGAACTATGCAGGTAATAATAATAATAAATATATATAGGTAATTATGTTTCCTATATGATAACTCTAAAATATGTAATAACTCTAAATGACTGTTTCTGACAAACAAACTCAGAAGTTCAGTTGCACTCAGATAGACAGATTGCAGAAACTCAGTCATTTTCTTCAACCCTGTCAGTCCGGGATTATCAATGTCGTCTATATGACGTGTGATGCCACGGCCTCACAAAAACTGACGTGAAACAACGCTTGCGTTGTGTTTCGTCGTATGAGTGAGGTTACCAGAGGCCCAATTACCTCCCCCCTTCCCCAATCACCCCAATCCATGAATCCCCAATAATCCTTAAATTCGTAATCCACAAAAGGCCGGTAACGTACTTGTGACGCCTCTGGTGTTCCAGATGTCCAAGGGCTACGCCGATTGCTTACCATCAGGTAATCCGTCTGGTCGTTTATCGGATTATCCCATAAAAAAAACATAAGAGGTTCCGTTAACGCGACCAATTGGGGACTACCATAATCTCCCCACACATAAACAACTAGGACATTCTGTTCTATTATATTCTGTTTTGCTGGCACCACATTTTACTTCATGATGCTCTTGAGTGTTGACTACAACAGCAGTTTGTAAGAATTGTCTACCCGCTCGGAACTTGATTTTCCAGTGTAGGTGTGCTAAGAAAAAAGGAATAGAACATACGTGTGTTAATCAAAAAACTATTATTTCAAAACCCAATTGAATCAGCTGCAGTAGTTAGCTTTATTCAGGTATTCAATTAAATTGAATAAGATTTCTTTCAAAAAAAAATACCTGTGAATATTGTATTGCGTCGACTTGTTTTTCTTTTTACATCAAAACTGAGCAGCTGATGCGAGAGATTTATGAGAAGGAGATAGTTAATGAACTAGAACATGAAATTATCATATTATAGTGCAGAACATTATCGTATTATTTCAAAAAATAATAATAAACTCAAGCTAATACTACTTTGGTTTTTAGTTTTTCTCCTGGATAATAGATGGCGGTACTTGCCTTCATCTTGCAAACGAAGTCACGAAAACCGGTCATACTATTATTGGATTATAATATTCATACTATTATTATTGGATACCGGTCATACTATTATTATTGGATAAAATATAAATTTATCTTATATTCTTCATGAATTTTTCTACGAAACGTGTTCTTTTCAACCTTCTAAAAATGGGTCTCCAAACTTAGACTTGCTAGATAGGTAACACCATAACCAACTTCAAATAAGTACTAAAAAATCTGGAAAAGATAAATAGTTTGTTCTTGACAATAACTTTAAATGCCCTTGAAACTTGTCCTTCTCCTCTGTCTTCGACTTTTCACTTCGCAAGAATGTGTGTGTATGTGTGTGTGTGAGTGTGTGAGTGTGTGCGTGTGTGTGTGTGAGTGTGTGTGACTGAGTGCATTTGTGTGTCTAAAAATCTGTGAAAAGGAGACAGATGGCATGTTTTATCTAAATTATAATTATAAGTCAAAATAATCAATCACTTCTTCGTTTTTATATCACCTTTCACTGTTCAGTATTGGCGTGATTTGTGGATTATAAGAATAAGAATATGAACGTTTATTTGCACAAAGTATTGTTATTACACGTACATAGCCTTCTGTGAATAACTACTGAGATTTTTTTAAAAACCCAGTAACACTTTGCCCGACCCAGGAATCGAACCCGAGACCCCGAGACAGTCGCACTTGCGACCACTCGGCCAACGAGGCAGGCCAAGTAGGCAGGTTTAAATTGTCTAAACATCACTTTTCACCATGGCCATGCCCCAGGCATAGAGATGTCTAGAATTATTCCAAGGCAAATTTAGAGAAGAAACGATTATGTGGAACAGTGGAAAAATTCAGACGTGTAGGCAATTATTAATCGATGATGGTAATATTGTCAATCAAAAACCATCGGTCCCACCCACAGATATATTTTTCTCTTGTCGTTATAAATAATTATTCGGCTGATTGTTTTTTTTTTTGTTTGTTCGCGCAGTACTCCGCCATTTGTGAACCGATTGCCAAAATTCTTGTTTTGTTTGAAAGGGTATACTCCCGAGATGGTCCCATTTTCATGAGGTCAGGATCTGATGATGGGATCCTAGGGAAACCAAGGGGAACTTTCGAAAATTCTATGGGCGAGTAATGCGTCTATTATGTTTTTCAATTACGATTTTTAAACACTACAATTTGATAAGGGTCTGGAGTCGACCTGATGATGGAGCCGACAGACAGTCGAGGGAACTCCTCAATGGTTTATATTAACTCAATGTTTGTGTTTAGGCTTGATTAATTTTCGACATGTAGAAAGGATGGATGAAAGTGGAATAACGAAAGAAGTATACAGAGCGGATATAAATGGGGCCGTCGGTAGAGGGCGCCCTAGACGGACAGATAGTGACCAGATTGGCGATGTATTGAAGAAGGGCCAATTAAAAGTACCCTTAACCGTTGAGCATGCAAAAAAAGATTGATGACTGTTGATGAAACGAAAGAGGTATGTAGGAATCGTAGTAATTGGCGTTCTATAGTCTCTGCCTACCCCCATGAGAGACAGGCGTGAAGTTATGTATGTACCTATGTATGTAAACCGTAATTTAGTTATTATGTTTTATGTATGTATCTCTAACATGGCTTGAAACGAGTCCAGTTCCTCGTCAAACAGTTATGTGAGTAAGCCGAAAACATAATAACTAATTTTGTATGTTTCACGAAAGTTATAAAATAAACCCGTAATTTTTGGTTATATGTGTATTTTTTTCTGTGGTTAAAAAGAGGTATTTATTTCTTTCTAAACCATAGATATATGTAAATCATAGTCTGAACCACAGAGTATCTGTGGTCTATACTTAAAATTCTTAAACGCAATGAATTTTCATAAATAACCCTGCCTGATTATTTTTTTTATATTACAACATTCATGAGATGTTATAAATTGTTTTACAACATAGGTACTCACGTAATTGTATGACCAAGTAAGTCAATTTTTTTTTAAATTCTGTGACTCGACTGTTTTCGAAATACTCTCTTCGAAGTAAATTACACTGTGTACCTATGGTTAGGTTCCGGGTTGCTGAATATTTGCAACATAATATAACACCCTCTTTCACATTTTCTAAAAATAAATCATACTTGGCATGGCTACTTCCATACATAGGATGTTCTATGTGAAAGGTATACCTGTGAAAATTGTCTTACGTTGTCTTGTTTTTATTTTTACATCACAACTGAGCAGCTGATACGAGTGATTTATGAGAAGGAGATAGTTAATGAACTAGAACATGAATTTATCATATTATAGTACATAAAATTATAGTATTTCTGCAAAAAAAGATAATAAACTAACTAAATACTGACTTGGTTTCTAGTTTTCCTCCTCGATAATAGATGGCGCTACTTGCCTTACCTTACGAACGAATCACGGAAAACGGTCATATTTATACAAAATCAAAATGTTATTAGTTAAATAATATGTTTCTTCGTGAATTCATCTATATTGTACTTGAAGATGAAATTTGTTATAAAAACCTTCTAAAAATCTGTCTCCAGACTTAGACTTGTTAAATAGGTAGGTAACACTAAAAACAACTTCAAACACGAAAAAAAGAATGGAAAACATGAATAATTTGTCCTTGAAAACTGTGCAAATATCTTTTATAAGCCACGGCTCCCCCTCACGCACCCTCGACTTTTCACTTCGCAAGAATGTGTGTGTGTATTTGTGTGTAATGGCTAACAATCTGTGAAAAGGACACAGGTAGGCACCATGTTTTATCAAAATCATAGCTAGTTTGACCTAGCTTCACTGACGGACAGACTATTATTTATTTTGTAGGTATTTGTTGACGTCTCAAAAGTACCAAAATAAGGTTTAATTGAAATAAATGCTTTGACTTTGACTTTGACATAGGTAATTTAAGTCACGATTGTAGTGTTTGTGGTAGTATCTATATACATATAGATACATGCCGTCTCGTGCGCATGACGCGCGGAGTGGACAGTTATTAGCACGAGAGCCGCGGGCGACGGTGGACTGTGTCACTGCTGCGCGTGCATGTGTGATCGAGCCGGCGTATGCGTTATAGTATTACATTAGTTTACAGTAAGGGTCCTACATTTGGCGACGAGCTAAAAGGTAAGTAATTTATATTTTATCAAAAAGAATAAGAAAGGATGTTGGGTGTTATTTTAGTCCTATCTACATACCGACATGATCAAATACCTGGCACTATATTATTATCATATTTGTTAACCTGCATTAATAACCCAACATTTCATATTTACGAGTTCAAATAAACATTTTACTGTACAATGATTCGCATATAAACTGAAGCATTTCGTCCACATTTCGGTATTTGAACTAAAATGATGTTAAACTTTTTAATTGAAAGTTATATAATTGAGATGTTTAAACTGTCAAACACTAGGCGGTCGCCGGTGGCCGCGACCTGTTCTTTGATTGTGTCTGTAGTGGGGGTACTCAACGAGTTAAGCAATTACTTAACTAAGTAGGTAGGTATGTGCGTCAACATGAAATATGTGCTGTGGATTTATACTTATAGGGTTGGATACTTTGTTTGATTGTTGTTTGATTTGCTACTAAGGTACTGAATAATATACATAACGGACGGCTGTAAGCTGTGAAACATTACAAATCAGTATGAATTTCAATAATATGAATAATTGTTTAAGATTTACTGCTTAATTTTCAGATATTTACTAAGTGGTTTTAAAACCTCCATTGAATTGGAAATAATGTGGTTTTAAAACCTCCATTAAATTGGAAATATTGTGGTTTTAAAACCTCCATTAAATTGGAAATATTGCGGTTTTAAAACATCCATTAAATTGGAAATAATGTGGTTTTAAAACCTCCATTAAATTGGAAATATTGTGGTTTTAAAAACCTCCATTAAATTGGAAATATTGCGGTTTTAAAACATCCATTAAATTGGAAGCATGTACCAGGTACCTCATTGTGGTTTAAAGGCCTCCATTAAATTGGAAATAGTGTGGCTTCAGAACCTCCATTGAATTGGATATTGTTGCGATTCTAAAATCTCCATTAAATTGAAAAACATTGTGATTTTAAATTCTCGATTTAAATTTTATGTGGGTAGTTATTTAGAACAGGAATATGGAGTAAATTAAGAACTGTTTTTAAGGTCAATACAGTGATGGTATTTGATTCTTAATTTCAGTATTACATAATTATCTGTGAATGTTTATTCAACTTTTAATAAGTAGGTACATTTAATAAAATCGACTAATTTATTATGTTTGATAAATGGAAGTTACAACGTAGGATCATCTTTCCAGGTTGCCCCACCTGATCCTTGAAACAAGCACTAAGTAATCATGACTAATATGCTACCACCACCCGACAAATTAGATTTAGACGGTAATGATGCATCAGTTGGTCAAAGATGGAGAAATGGAAAAGATCTTTAGAAATTTATTTAGACGCTGCAGAAATTCAGACACCTGTTAAGAAAAGGGCAACACTTTTACTCCTGGGGGGTTCAGTGTTACAGGAAATCTATTATAATCTACCCGGAGCTTCTGTAGAACCAACTGAGGGCATTGACGTATTTAAAATTTCTATTCAGAAATTGGACGAATATTTCCTTCCTAAGCAAAGCTGCGTTTATGAACGTCATGTTTTCCGGCTTATCAAGCAGGAAGAAGCGGAGAGATTTAAAAAATTTCTTGTTCGATTGAGAAAACAAGCTACAAAATGCAAGTTTGATAAGGTTGACGATCATTTAATTGATCAGATAGCTGAAAATGTGCATCAGTAGAATTAAGGAAGAAAATACTAACCATTGGCGATGACATTACTCTCGAAAGAATTGTAACAGAAGCAAACACTTTGGAAGTGGTCAAACAACAACTAGACGACTACGAAGAAAAAACGAAAAGAATCGATATTAATCAGATAGGTAGCAAAGATGGAAAAATCACAAAGAAAACAGACAAGATGTTGGCAGATGCGGAAATACAAAACACGATTCACAATATAGTCTATGTGTAGCAAAAAATCAGAAATGCCACTCGTGCGGTAAAATTGGACATTTTGCACGATGGTGCAGGAGTAGAAAAGATCAGAAAAGGAAGCTCGAAGATACAGAAAGTAAAACAAAAGGAGCAGATAAACCAAGTGATTCTAAGAAAGCGAGAAAAGATGGAAGAGTAAATTTTGTTGAAAAGGACGTTGAATATGTTTTAATATTTACAATGATGATGAAACTTCTGTAAAGTGTATGATTGGAGGTAGTCGTGGACATGTTGGTTGACTCAGGATGTAAAGTTAATTTGATTTCTGATAAGACTTGGTATAGTTTGAAGAAACAAAATATAAAAGTATCCAATCAAATTCAAAAGCCTAATAAAAGACTAGTACCGTATGGAAGTGAAATACCTTTAAATGTTGCGGGATCATTTGAAGCAATAATAAGTACAGGAATTAAAGAAACAATAAGTACATTTTATGTTATTAACGGAGGAACAAGGGATTTGTTAGGAAAAGATTCAGCTGTGAAGTTAAATGTTTTGAAAATTGGATTGGGCATTAATCAAGTAGAGGCTAAAGAATTTCCAAAATTTAAAAATGTTTTAGTTGAGATTCCTATAGATGATACTATAAAACCTGTGGTTCAACCATACCGCAGGATACCTATACCACTTGAGCAAAAAGTAAATGAAAAAATTCAGGAACTGCTAGACTGGGATATAATCGAAGAAGTGTCACAACCATCAAGATGGGTTTCACCGGTCGTTCCAATTCTTAAAGAGAACGGAGAATTGCGCCTTTGTGTTGACATGAGACGAGCAAATGCCGCTATACTTAGGGAAAATCATCCCTTACCGACCATGGACAATTTACTCCCAAAGATTGGTAATGCTAAGTTCTTTACGAAAATTGATATTAAAAATGCATTTCACCAACTTGAACTGCATCCGGATTCCAGACATATCACTACATTTATAACATCGCGGGGGTTGTTCCAGTACAAGCGTTTGATGTTTGGAATAACGTGCGCCCAGAAATATTCCAGAAGACCTTGGAAAGGATGATTATTCATTGTGAAGGAGCAGTCAATTTTATTGACGATATACTTATTTATGGAAGTACTGAGACGGAACATGACCGGCGCGTAGAACAAATACTGAAGGTATTAAATGAGAACAACGTGTTGCTAAATGAAAATAAATGTATTAGGAAAGTTCAAGTAGTTAATTTTCTAGGACATGAGTTAAGTGCAAATGGAGTCAAACCATTAAAGAAGTATATAGATAGCATCGACAATTTTGGGATTCCAAAAACGATTGAAGAATTACAGAGCTTTTTGGGTTTAATAAATTATATTAATAAATGGATACCTAACCTAGCAACAACTACAGAACCGTTAAAACAACTATTGCGGAAAAAATTAGGCAAAATGCTGGGTTAGAGAAATATTGGAAGAAAGAACGAAGAAAGAAGCTTTTGACTTAGTAAAAAAGGACTTATCACAATTAAAGTCTCTTGGGTACTATAGCGTGAAAGATAAAATACAAGTGATTGCCGATGCCAGTCCGGTGGGCATTGGAGCAGTTTTGGTACAAATAAACTCTAGAGGTCCACGAATTATAGCCTATGGCAATAAAACGTTAACTGATTGCGAGCGAAGGTACAGTCAGACAGAGAAAGAAGCGCTAGCCTTGGTTTGGGCTGTTGAACATTTTAACATCTTCCTATATGGCAAAGAATTTGATCTGATAACCGATCATAAACCCTTAGAGGTTATATTTGGGCCAAGATCTAAACCCTGTGCTCGCGTGGAAAGATGGGTTTTGCGTTTGCAATCATATCGATACAAAATTAAATATCAATCTGGCAAATCAAACATTGCTGATCCACTGTCACGTCTTTGTCATCAAATGCTACCTCTTATTTAGGAAAGGATCAGCATGTTTACCAAATTGTTGAACAAGCCAGACCAAAGGCTGTTTCCATGTACGATATTGTTGGACATTCGGTTAAGGATTTAGAAATCAAAAACGTGAAGAACGGTATCTATAAAAATATTTGGGATGATAACGTTAAAGCATACAAAATTTTTGAAAGTGACTATGTTTCTATGATGATGTTCTTTTAAGAGGCAATCGCATAGTGATACCTGTTTCACTACGAAAGGAAGTGTTAGATTCTGCGCACGAAGGGCATCCTGGGATTGCAGCGATGAAAGGTCGACTAAGATCTAAAGTGTGGTGGCCACGAATAGATCGAGACGCGGAAAACGTTGTTAAGGGTTGTAAGGGATGCACCTTAGTAGGTGCACCAAATCCGCCAATGCCAATGAAAAGGCGTGAATTACCTTCAGCACCTTGGGTGGATGTAGCTATTGATCTTTTAGGTCCATTGCCCAGCAATGATTATCTTTTGGTGATTATTGACTACTACAGTCGATACAAAGAAATCAAAATCACAAAATCTATCATGAGTTCGCAGATTATCAAGATCCTTAAAGAAATTTTTAGTAGATTGGGCTATCCTGTCAGCATTACTGCTGATAACGGCCGCCAATTTATCAGCACCGAATTCAGATCATTCTTACAAGAATGTAACATTACCCTTTATAATACAGTTCCCTATTGGCCTCAGCAGAATGGAGAAGTTGAGAGGCAGAATCGCGATATTTTGAAAAGGTTGAAAATAGGACACATAGAAAAGAAGGATCTGAGAGAAAGTCTCTACGAATATCTTCTAATGTATAATGCTACTCCGCATTCAGTTACGGGAAAATCTCCTTCAGAGCTATTCTTCAAGAGACAGTGTCGAGATAAAATTCCATCAATAAGAGAAAGAGAACTTGAAGATGATTCTGAAGTTAGAGATAAAGATAAAGAGCAGAAGGAGAGAGGAAAGGAATATGGTGATAAGAAAAGGCGTGCAAAAGAAAGTCAACTAGTAGAAGGAGACAAAGTGTACGTCAAAGAAATGGAATCCAATAAATTAAGTTTAAATTACAACCCTACACCACATGTTGTGGAAAATCGTAGTGGTGGAGATGTGACAGTTAGGAATGAAGAGACTGGACAGACATTAAGACGAAACGTAGTACATTTAAAACGAGTTGAAGGCAAATGGACATCAATCACAGATAATGAAAATGAAGATATTGAGAATTTGTAATATTGTTTCACATATACATTGATGTAATTAATAAACAAGTGATTTAAATTAAAACAAAATCTTTTAATATGAAAAGGATGTAGTGTTTGTGGTAGTATCTATATACATATAGATACATGCCGTCTCGTGCGCATGACGCGCGGAGTGGACAGTTATTAGCACGAGAGCCGCGGGCGAGGGTGGACTGTGTCACTGCTGCGCGTGCATGTGTGATCGAGCCGGCGTATGCGTTATAGTATTACATTAGTTTACAGTAAGGGTCCTACAACGATAATCTAAGGACTAGAATTCTACTTCTCATCATTTTGGTTTTTATATTCGAATCTTTTTGAATTTGGAATTTCTGTCAAAAATCGATATTAATTCACAGATTTTAGATAGGTATTAGAACTATTAGAGATAAGTTAATAAAATGCCAGTACAGGTCACCTTCCTCCATGCCCCAGACTTAAAGATATCTAGAAAGTTTTCCACACCAAATTTCGAGAATAAACGATTATGTGGAACAGTGGAAAAATTCAGACGTGTAGGATTGTAGGTGTGTA